ATCCATCCTTTCCTGCTTGTGGGGGCTTCCCCCTCAGCCCTCAGTCTCCGCCCACTTCCCAGATCTCATCCAGGAGTGGTGTGAGGCCACGGGGTCTGAGCCCCTGCTTCTCTTGCCTGGATTTGGGTGTCAGCTTCAGCAGTGTGGAGGACTGGAAGGGCCCCTGAGAAAGCCCGCTGCAGTTGCTCTCTTTTTCCCTCAGACCCTCTGGACAAGCCGTTGGCCGGTCAGGATGCATTTTTTCTGGAGCAGACCAAGAAGAAAGGAGTGAGGGTAAGTTTGCACAGGCAGGCAGCGAGATAGGGAAGGCAGTTCCCTGTGGTCTCCATCCCTGCCTCTGAGCCAGTCACCCTAGTGGCCCATGTCCCCGTCCTAGCTCCCATGGTGACTCACCTTGGGAAGGTGACCTCACCTCAGTGCCTCCATTCCTTCCTCTAACTGCAGAGTGGGTGACAGCTTGCTTAGGACGGCTGGGGAGGTGTGGGTTACAGAAGAAATGCCTGAAAACTGCGGGGTACACAGTGCTGGCACTGTGGGTTGGCAGTTGGATTGTGGCCATCATCTTGAGCTCTGGACCCTGGCTTCTGAGAGCCAGGTGCTGTGGAGTTCTCTGCACTGTTGGGGTGATAAAGTGTTGCTCCCCATGGGGCCAGAGGAAACCTCGTCCTTTATATCCATGTGTCCTGTGACTCCAGGGAGGCCAGGAGCCATCACTGGAGCAAAGCTCCTGGGGCTGGAGACTGGAGGAGCAAGCCAGCCATAGTCAGAGCAGGGCCAGAGAACCCTGCAGCCGAGAGTGTGCAGTGTTTCCTGAGCCGGCGTGTGTGTACAGGAGGCAGGGTCCTAAGACAGTAGCCCCAGAACTCACAGGATCAGGTGTGGGGGCGTCTGGGCTACTAGGGGACCACTCAGTATAGGGCCTATACCAGGGAGGAGACTAGTTGCAGTCTGGAAGATCTTGGGTGGCTATGGATTTTCTGTTCCTTGTGTCCTCTGGGGACTTTTGGAGCACATGGGCATCAGAATTGTCACCAATAGCTTGCTGTGACAGACAGCAGAAGGCCCATAGCACCACCAAAGGTGCTGGGGCTTGTGAGGGCATCCAGACCCGGCGTGGCACA